CATGTGATAAGAAGGCTTTGCTCAGCAGTGAGCAGTTATAAGCTGTTCATGAAACATGGAATCTTAACTTACAAACAATGAAGGGTAATATCGAAAAGCCAATTACGCTATTGAAAAAACCGGAACAGGTTATTAAGACCATATGTTCGACAGCTGCGTTAGCGACCACTCGACATGTAAGCCAAAAATAATTGCAAAAGGATACATTTTTTTAAGGGGCAAAAATCATCGAATGGCTGCTCCCGCCTGGGTGAGGCGGGAGGGAGTGTCAGACTCTTACTGACTAAAAACCACCCCGTTCCTTCTCCTGCACGTCGAGCCGGAGCCCTGGTTACCCGTTAGGTTCTCCGCGACTCCGATCCGGCATCGGCCCTATTGGGCCCCATCTGTGGTGGTCTGATGGCTCTTAGAGGCGCGCGCGGAACGCGACGCGCCGTACGGTCGCTCGTACAATAGGGGCGATAGCGACTCATAGTCATAACATAAATAGTGAAAAGTCGGTGTTACATTGTACAGTGGCATTAAGTGCCGTAATGCGCACCTCTGCATACCCCTTCGGTGGTGAAAGGCGTGCTATAATGTTATCCTTACTAATATTATAAATCGGAAAGTGTGTCCTTACTAATATTATAAATCGGAAAGTGAGTTTGTTTGTTCTGCTTTCACGCCATAACTACTAAGCCGATTGCTTTTAAATTTTTGCAGATGTATAGTTAGAAGTCCGGATTTAATAATAGGGTACTTTTTATCCCAGAAAAAATTGATATTCCCGAGGGAAAACAAAAGTATTGGTATAGATGGCGCTGTGTGTATTGTTATATGTCACATTGGCTTTTTATCCTTTTGTGACGAGAGCGAAGCCGCGGGTAAAATCTAGTGTTATCTAAATAAGAAGTTGGGTAGCGAGTCCTACCCCTAAAAAATTAAAGAAGCAATTGTCTATTCTTAACTTAAAGAAGAATCTCCGCCTATTTGTAAAGTAGGTACCTAATGTAGTCTTTGTTCCATAAATTTCGAACGTGGTATCCATAGAAACGACAGAGCACCTACGGAAACGATCCCTACAAAGGTTTAGTTTAGGATCTTTAGCTTTTATCGCATTCTACAATGTAACAATCCGCTAGCGCCACCTACTCAAATAATCCCTACTTTGGTACTATTTTAGCTTCAGTCACATTCTTACACGTGGTCAAACGCTAATAGGGTAGACGACTAATTTTTATTTTAATGTCCGTCTGGTAGATTATTTAAAAACATTAGACACGTATTTTTTATTTTCTTACGGAAACGAATAGTTTCGAAGATATATTGATTTGAAATGTCGCGTGACGTCACTTCTCAGTACATTTTATACTAAGAAATGACGTTTTAGCCCCCACTCCTAAACTTTGATTCGTTTTATCTAAGTATTGTTTTATTATACAACAAAATAAAAAAATACGTGTCTAATATTTTTTTATTACCTAAGTTACGGACTAATTATATTTTTAATTTTCATACCCTGTCATCATCCCCATTTCATTATTACATAAACACATATTCTATGTAGTGTATAAAAATAGACTTTTAAGTAGATGAGACCCAAAACCAGTTACATTTGTTGCATTGTATAATATAATAAGTATTTATGTACATATGTGCACGTCTGCGTACTTCGGAGATCGGACGCCATGTTGCGTTCCAATGAAGGTACATAATGTTTATGTACAATATAATAAATACCAGGAAGGGCTTACGCCGATCGATGGCCACCCATCTCCCGAGGGGGGACGCTAAAAGGGGTGTCGTACCCCGTAAAGGGAGACTGTGGGAAGATGGGAGATATGATAAAGGTATGAGTACAGGTTAACGATCATGCGCGTTACGACCGCGGTAGCAATCAATAATTCCCGGGCGACCACACCCAAGCGTCGGGCGTGGTCGGTATGAGGTTACAGTAAGCTTCAGATATCTTATTTTGTTAAAGTTTTATTTTAAATACGGACTAGCGAACGCTAACAGTGCAATCAGTTTGTTTTAGGATACGCTTTTGTATAATAAGACATGGAATAGCAAATAGATGCTGCCACGTGCCTGCCACGCGGTTTGGTCACAGCTAAAAATTACGTCGTCGTGGATTACCTGATAAAAAAAGTTTAAATTGCTCTATAAAACGAAAGAAATACGTGGCCAATATGCAGCCACCGCGCGATAATTTTCAGGCTCTAACAGTTTATGGGACCATTTTCTTAACTTTCAGTGACGTAACTGAGCAAGAAACATAACAAAGGAAATCTTGTTTGAGAAACCAAATACCCTGAATTAAATTATTCTTTCTTGTTCTCCTTCTATGGCAATGTGTTGACATCTGATACACTGTATTTGGAATTTATTGGGTAGTTGAAGAGTCCAGCTGTAGCTAGTTATTCTAGGCCGGCAAATCTATCAGGGAGATTAGCAACACCTTGTCTCTCAAGTATATTATACTTAAAGCTGCCGTCACCACCAAGGTCCAGGGCCAGCTCATTTCTATGACTTGTTAGTCTCTTCTGGTATTTGATACTGAAAACGGTAATTTCTTGTCTGACAGCGTTAATAAATGGCTGATTTTAATCCAAAATATTTTGATCGATTCAAGTTTTTGACAGAAACTCCACGATAACATTGATATAATCAAAAATCGATATCAAGCGTTTGACTAGATGGGGCCTAATAGGGCTGATACCGGTACTCCGACTCGAAGTAGGAACGAGGTGGTTTTTAGTAAGTAAGAGTCACTCATTCTCGCCTCACCCGGGCAGGAGAAGGCATTCGATGATTTTCCCCCTTAATAACGACAGAAAACTGTTTAAGGTTAATCCTCAGCTAATGTAGGTCATCGGTGACCTACGTTACGGGTGGAGGTTAAAGTTCACGGTTCCAAATCAACCAAGCAACTCCTGTACACCTAGTTGTAATAGACACGACCTGGCAAACACCGGAACACTGAAGTCTCGTGCATCCCAGTGACATGAGTAACTCTTGGATCTCGCAACGAAATAAACCAGAAAATGTTAATATTAAGAAGAAAAACGCCATGCCATGTCACTGTCTCTTGACGGTAATGATCATTTACGATGATTGATTAAATAATTTTGGCTTTGCAATATTAGACTTTAATAACACCCATTACGTTAAAACACACCGAGCTTTTATTTTCTAAATCTATATAAAAGAAAGTAGTTCTAGTTCTTTTGTTTTTCTTCTTCTTTAGATTTGTATAAAAATCGGTGGGGAGGTAGCGTAGCACCAGGAGACGGACATAGGATACTTTTTATATAATACTTTTTTTATACTTTTTACCGAAAATCACGAACGGGATAAACGGGATTGCGCGTACGAATCGTCGCGGGGAGAAGCTAGTTGATTATAATATAGTAGATATAAAACTTGCAACCATATTTTCGGATTGATATAGCATTGCCATTAAAAAAAAATCTGTGCAGAATTAGTTCGCAATCTCCAAATAGGTACACAAATAAAAAAAAAGAAATAAAAAATAATCAACGCATAAAATTTCGCAGAGTGAGCTATAAACTTATGACTAACAATTAAAAAATATCTTAACAGGACTACGGTTGGTGCAGCGGCTAGATGATTGTCTGCTACGAAACGATCAAGGGCTTTATTCCCATACGGAACAAGTAGGTACTTATTTATGTGGTTTCCCGGCCGCTTCATAGCATGATATCTAATGACCTATAATATTTCCATGCTGAGTTCGGCGACTGTTTCTTAAATAACTACCGGTGTTTTTAAGTCCCGAGATCGAAACGTTACCGCGGGTAGCCCTCTGATTGGACGGTTCATTTGAGTAGGCCAATCAGAGTATACAACATGTAACTTAAATAACGCACATCCTGAAAATAGTTTGTTCAGAATCGTTAACTGAATCGATTTAAATATAATTTTTAGTATAGGTAATTTTTTATCCCAAAAATAATTAAAACTACGGTAATTATTGTCACATTAACCCCGTATTGTTAAAACAAATCGAAATGGACCGTAAGTCAAAGCAATAAGAATTTTAAAATCGCAGTTTTATTTGTATTCATACAAATTCTATCATTCAATCTATACTAATCTATACTATTATATAATATATATAATATAATATAATATTATAAAGAGGAAAGATTTGTATTTTTGTATTTTTGTATGTTTGTAATGAATAAACTCAAAAACTACTAGACCGATTGCAATGATTTTTTCACCATTAGAAAGCTGCATTATTCAGAAGTAACATAGGCTATATAATATCACGCTAGGTCCTATAGTTGTGGAGCAGTAACCAAAAATGTTTTAAAAACGGGGGAAAAGTATCGTTTCTGAGGCCTTCCGTGGCGTGCGCTGAGCATATAGTTAGAGTTATACAAAAATGCTCTATAGAAGAATTGTTCATCTTAACATTATTTTTAAAAAAGTCCGCGAGAGCATATGTCTACCTTTTATAGTTTACCCATAACAATCGTTTTAATGAATGGTTCAATCCTTATAAAAGTTTGCTCTAGATAATTTTTGAATTGTTCAATCGGTTACCTTAAGACGCGACATCGACAACGGAGGGCAAGTCGCTAAAAAAAAACTGAGAATAAACATAAATAAAACGTAAAACTATGTAAAAAATCTTAAGTCCCCCCGTGCGAAGCCGGGACGGGCCGCTAGTACAAAATAAAGAAAAATAAACCTTATGACAAGACAAGTAAGGATGCATATACATGTTAAATTAAGTGTTTGGTATTATGATTACAAGCTACTCGTACTAAGGCCTCTGATTGTTTGGTTTATTATAGCCGGCCAATCACAGCGCCGAATGCGTACTCGTTACGATTATTTTGAACGAAAATGAAACTCGTACTAAGACCTCAGTAAAGGTCCCACTTCCACAATCGTTTGACATAGTACCTAATTTAAGCTTGTGACAAAAATTCTGGACTGAAATCGTAGCACCAACTTCGCAATGAATTTAAAAATGGACTTACCCAATGTCATCGGATTGGTACTGGTTGTCGTACAGGGAACTGTTGAAGTCGTCCCGTGTAGAATCCCACTCGTTGTTCTGGTAGTTACGACCCCTACTCGTCATTGTGCTGCGGACAAACTGGGTATTTCAGTATCTATTGTATGTATAAAGTATTATTACTATAATATATCTATACTAATATTATAAAGCTGAAGAGTTTGTTCTTTTGTTTGTTTGAACGCGCTAATCTCCGAAACTGCTGGTCCGATTTTAATAATTCTTTCTGTGTCGAATAGCCCATTTATCGAGGAAGGCTATAAAATATCACGCTACGATTAATAGGCGCCGAGCAGAGCGAGTGAAACCGCGCGAAGTAGGTAGTAGATTTATAGTTTATGTTTACTAATCCAAATGTATTGTCCCTTCCAGTCACTAACAACTACCGGAAAGTTTAAGTTCAACGGTTCATCATCTGCCGTCACCACTCGACACTGGCAGTATAGTCGACAACACTGTATTGGAGACTCTGTTGCCATTCAAAAAAAAAAAAAGAAAATATTTCAGTACAATACTCGTAAAGGATTATTTTAAGAAACTTTAAAACTGCACGGTTGGTGCGGTGGCTGGGCAACCGGCTGCCGTGAAACGTGTCGCGGGTTCGATTCCCGCACGGAACAACACTTTGTGTGATCCACAAATCGTTGTGTCGGGTCTGGGTGTCATTGTGTGTGTGAATTTGTATGTTTGTAAACGACACAGGAGAAAATCCCAATGTGGGGCAAAATCTTTAAAAAAAAAACATATTTTTACAGAAAGTTCATTATACCTAATGAGGATGAAGTAATCGCCAGATGGTGCTGATGTAGCATTACGTCCTATACACAATATCCTAGTGTTTGAATCATTTCACATTCAATGTTTGAAAGCTACAGTGACGGGATAAACTACCTTTTTTGAGGGGGGGAAATGGTCCAATGACTTCTCCCGCCTTGGGTGAGACGAGACGAAGTGTCAGACTTTTACTGACTAAAACCCAACCATTCATACTGATGCTCTTCGAACCGGGGCCACGGCAACTTGTTATGTCGTCCGTGGCTCTGCATATGGCATCAGCCCTACTGGGCCCTATCTGTGGTGGTCTGATGACTATTTGAGACATGTGTCCACAACAATGTAAAGATTTAAACTGTCAAACACCAAGCGGTCACCGGTGACCGCAACCTATTGTTCTATAATTGTGTCTACAAAACCGGTACTCGACGAGTTAAGGTTCAAAATTGAATGTATAATTTAATTGATTTCGAGAGTAAGTATGGCTGTTATGTTCAGATTTTTAAATTCTATAGAAAACTAGCTGTTGCCTACGACTTCGTCCATATAGAACATGAATTTAAGAACATAGGTAACTTATTTTGTTTATATTTTCAAAGTAATAATAGCTATGTTACTCCTTAGCACATCAGCTAACCGCCAATAAAATTCAGCTATTCCAGAGACATAGCTTAGTTAGCATGATAATAATTTTGTAGCCTATATGATGACCCGACTAGTTAGAACCCATGCAGTCCTTTTTGAGTTTAGCCCGAACATAAAGTCAAAAAATAGATGAACCATAATTTTTGCTTCAATATTGACTGTAGATCATGCCCCAAGCGTTCTTTTTTAAAAAAATATTCAATGTTCTGTTTTCACTTTCTGACTACTTTATTGTACCGAAGTAAATTTATAATATTAAAACACAAATTATTTAAAAACTTTTTGTTCAGAGTTTATTAGTACCCATAACACTGACCTGCCTCTTCTATAATTGAGTAACTTAAATAAATACAACTTAAAGATCCACAAAACAGTTTAAATATTTAAAACATGAAGTTTGAAGCGATACTTTACAAACTATAAGAATTTGAAAAGAAATTATACTAAGACTGAATTTTAGAATGAGGGTCGTCTTAGGTGTGGATTTTTTTGGTCAATCTTCAGTCTAAAGTTCTTGCAAGATAATCTAGTCTCAAATAACACCGTAATATCATGAATTACTAAATAACAAACAATAATCAACTGGGTTAAAGGATGACAACAGCGCAGAAAGAAATTTCACGACTCGTATCACTATAATACCAAAAGAGACATTAAATGCATAAAATAACTAATCAAAAATATGCTAAAAACCAGCGAAGGGTGTTAATAAATAACTAACAGTAAGTAATACGGCAAAATACAATGAAACATTCAAAAATTTCGCACATACTTTTTGAAAATGGAAACGTTGAGGCACAACGTGTTTGTCAAAAGATTTTATCATTTCACCCTAAAATTTGGATGGTCACCTAATGTATTTGTGTTTTGTAATAAGTTTAAAGTAATACATTTAGTGGGCTTACCTTTAATTTTATGTAAATCTGAAAAAAACAATCCAGCACCGGCTAAAAAACAAAGAACTGAAATTGCACAGGTAAATTATTTCAGAAGGTTAAAAAAAACGTGATAGACGACCAGCTATTATCTGTGGTACCATTTAGTCGATTTCTTGATGTTCAATATCTTACTAAACCTAAACAGAAATTCTAGTTGCCTCCATTTTTCCCCGTTTTCCCAAAATAGATGTACCAAAGACCTACATCAGTATTTAAAATATGTCTAGCCCATCTATGTATACAATAGAATACTAATACAATAGAATACTAGAATAATAGAATGATAAAGGCCGTTAAGCTGTGCCTGTTATTTCATTTATGACCGGTATGTATTACCTTAACATGCAAATAAAGACTTTGAGTTTGAGTTGGAGTTTACTAAGATTAATAAACTTGAATCATTCTTGAGCCAGCTTGCAACTAGCTCCGTACCGCGTTCAAGAAGCTGGTTCTTTCTTTCATAATATATTTCAAATATATCTTGTTTTTTTTCTTCGTCTTCAATCTACCCACTCGTCTACCTACTACCCACTACCCACTATACCACTACTGAGTACTGTCTCATTCAGATTTTTACTTATTTTGTTTTGCATTATTATAAAATATAAGCTCATCCAGAGGTATTTCTGCTACCAATAAAAAGGTTGTAACTGTCAGGCCATGTCATGCATGATTCATGATTCGTGAAAGGCGGTTCTTTTAAAAAAATATTTTATGTGTACCATGGGGGTAAAACGGTTAATAGGATCATTTCCATCTAATCAGCTGCTTCCAGCAGCTCATATTTGTGGTACACCCACTTCGAACTTTTTCAGGCCAGGCCTACCTATTTATTCTTTTAAAAGAGGAAGACCAAGAACTTATTGTCTATTTGTCTTGGTTCAAGATTTACATTACACCATTCACACCCGGAATAAGAACTCCTGGAAGTACTCACACAAATAGTTTTTCAAAAATCAATCCAACCCGCAACTTTTTGTTGTGTTTGTAGGTGTGTAAGTCTGTGTTGTAGGTACATACAGCAAGCACCTGGTTGTCGAGCCAGTCTCGCTACTGTGTTAACCGTGTATTCAATGTATAATATAATTATAAAGTCATAACTTATCCTTGGTTATAACATTATTCCTATTGGAAAATGTTTAAAAATAACTGGGCCTAACATGGAAGAAATATTTGGTCATCACGTGACGTTCCATTTCACAATTGCACAACACTACTTTGATGAATGAAATGAGTTTGATTTGACATTGACAGCTCTCGAAATCCTAACCTACCGAACTATTTCCTAATAACGTAAAAGATATTGTGAAAAATAAATAATTAAAACAAACTTTTAAATATGAAGAATGGACGATAATGGGAAGCACACGTCCTCTTATCATTTGGACCAGGAAATATTGGATGGCAAGTTGTTTATAAATTATTTTTTGTTGTAATTCTAGTAAGGATAAATCAACAGGTAGACGTCTAATGTGTTATGACAATATGACGCAGAAATATTTCATATTGTATACATAATATATCGGAAATGCTTTTAATGAAAAACGTATTGAATAATAGGATACAATTTGGCTGACTACATGGTAACTAGTGCCAGAAAAAACCATATAAATTACATTATGATTAAAAAAAAACAAATAGGTGGGTTGATCATGACTTTATGGGCCATCAAATTGCTTACAAACAAAAAATAGGTACTTAATTTTATATAAATTATGATATGAAGTACACAAATCTTTTAAATTATGTTAAAATACTAAAGAAAACTTATTTTTTCATTGAATAACAAAGTTTTTAATCCATATCAGTTATGATTCATGCTCATATTATTGTTTAACATGTTGTGAATCTGTGATTGTTGTTTTATTTGAAATAAGAATGCAACTATTCAACTATTTGTTTTTTTCCTTATTCCTTTGATGTGTGCTAGTTTGCACAATGTTTATATTTTCTTTTACCTCTAAAACCTTCTAGAATTGTTCCTATTAGAGTGAAACTTGTTTTTGTCAGACAATAATTCCTAATATTGTTGGAGGATCAAACTGTTCTAACATAAAATTTGACTTGTCATTTGAAGCTTTTGTGATATACTTAGATAGGTTTTCAAACTTTTAAAGTCAAAGAGGCCTTTGCCCTGCAGTGGGACGATCATGGCTGAAAATAAATAATAAATAATAATAAATAAAGTCAAAGTCAAAGTATTTATTTCGAGTAGCTAACCATAGTTTGGTACTTTGAAACATCAACAAATACAAAATAAATAATAGTCTGACAGTCTGCCTGTTAGTGAAGCTAGGTGCTTGTTCCAAAATGTAGATTCACATGGAAAAAAAAACGAACAAAGTAAAAAATTGTAAATTGAAAAGTTAGAAGTAAGATATGGCGTAGCAAACATGACTTTATTATTAATGTGTGATATGTCCAATCTTCCAGCTCGTGGCATCAGCATGACTGTTGAAGAGGTGGCAGGTCTCTCCACTTGCAAGTACTCAGAGAGGGTGCAGTCCCTCAAACTCAATGAGGATGACCTTGCCTTCCTGAAGGGACTCCGGAGAAGGATCAAAAATAGAGTAAGTCAACGTTTGCTGTACGTTTTTATGGGATATGAGGCAAACGAGCAAATGGATCACCTGAATGAGCAATCGGCACTGCCCCTGGAGGGTATCCATGTAATTGACAGGTTAAAAGTAATACTTAGATAAAACAGATTTATGTTTAGGAGTGGGAGGGCGCTACGTCACATATTCCTATAAAATGTTGTAGATCGTGACATCACAGGATATTTCAAATTATTTTTTTTATGGCATAAGCTAGTAAATGATCAAATGGTTCACCTGATGGTAAGCAATCTATGTCGCTCATGGACACCTGAAACACCAAGGCATTACAAGTGCGTTACCAGCCTTTTGGGGATTGGTAATTTGAGGATTGCTAAAAGTATTTAACTTGTAGAAAAAATAGGTGTCTAATGTTTTAAATTAATCTACCAGACGGACATTATAATAAAATTTAGGAAACTACCCTATTAGCGGTGCTCATGGAAGGTGCGAATAGATTGCCATTACAACGTTTACGTTCTTTATTTTTTATGGGGAGAAAATCATCGAATAACTGCTCCCGCCTAGGTGAGCCGGGAGGGAGTGTAAGACTCTTACTGACTATAAACCACCCCGTTCCTACTCCTGCACTTCGAGCCGGAACCCCGGTAACCCGTTAGGTTCTCCGCGACTCCGTATCGGCATCAGCCCTACTGGGCTACAACAATGTAAAGATTTAGGGTTCAAAACTGAATGTATAATTTAATTCGTCGATTACCGGTTTTGTAGACACAATTATAGAACAATAGGTTGCGGTCACCGGAGACCGCCTGTTTGTTTGACAGTTTAATTGATTTCGAGAGTAAGTATGGCTGTTCTCAACTTCTCTCCTCCCCAATCCCCTATCCTCAACTCCAAAAAGGCCAGCAACGCACTCCGCTAGTGCTGCGGGTGTCCACAGAAGGCACGCATTGCTTACCTTCGGGTGATCAGTCTGCTCGTTTGCCGGCTTACTCCGAAAAAATATATATATTCTATCTGGGAGAGCCATGCTTCGGCACGAATGGGCCGGCTCGACCGGAGTGATACCACGGCCTCACGACCGACGTGAAGCAACGCTTGCGTTGTGTTTCGTCGTGTGAGTGATGTTACCGGAGGCCCAATTACCCTCCCCTTCCCCAATCTCCGCAATCCCTGAATTCCCAACAATCCTCAAACTCGTAATCCCCAAAATGCCGGTAACGCACTTTTAACGCCTCTGGTGTTCCAGGTGTCCATGGGCGACGCCGATTGCTTACCATCAGGTGATCCGTCTGCTCGTTTACTGGTTTATGCCACATAAGAAAACGCCCCGTAATGCATCCTGATGATAACACAAAGAGCTATTTTTGCAGTAGTCAGCCGTCGCTGCGTTAAACCGATATCGGTCTAACTATTGCTATTGTGCGACAATTGTGCTGGTTAACTCGTGTACAAGACGTTCCAGTACACAAATTATAAGTGAAAGCATTTTATTACAATGGGGGGTATCAGACATTGCTAATCTAAAAAGGTATGTTCGTCCAATCGCTGCACCTGTTAAATTTTGAATGTCCAATGTTGCTTGTTCGTCCGCGAGTCACTTAAGGGGCCAGTAGAATACCAGCGCTTTTATTTTAAATTGGTCGCGGGGAACCTAACGGGTTACCGGGGCTCCGGCTCGAAGTGCAGGAGTAGGAACAGGGTGGTTTTAGTCAGTAAGAGTCTGAAACTCACTCAGCCTCACCCAGGCAGAAGCAGTAATTCGATGATTTTCCCCCCTTAAAAAAAAAAGTCCTGAATTCAAATTATTTATTGCATTATTCATGTGTATTAGGTGTTACATAATTGGGTATAGTTTCAACATGAAACCCGGTTAGGGCACGACAACATATAGAGCAAAATATAATCCAATTAAATTACTTATAATATTATCACATAAAAAAGTTATTATACCTATATAAGACTGCCTCATTGGCAGAGTGGTCGCAAGTGCGACTGCCGGGAAAGGGGTCTCGAGTTCGATTCCCGGGCCAGGCAAAGTATTACTAGGTTTTTCAAAAAAATCTCAGCAGTAGCACGGAGTATGGAATTATGCCCAGTATATGGCAATAGGCTCACCCCCTATTACATTGGACTCATAAAATAAATAGTGAAAAGTGGGTGTTACATTGTACAGTGGTATAATTTACACCTCTGCCTACCCCTTCGGGGATAAAAGGCGTGATGTTATGTTATGTATGTAAAAGTTATTATTTTAATGCCCTGTCTTGCACATGCTGAACTGGTCCCATTTTACCGCAGACTTGGACATGAACATGTATCTATCAGTACCTACTAATAGACAAATACATCTGTGCTTTCACTGGTTAATTACTGTGAAAAAAATTTTTTTTCTTTCTTTCAATGGTGTGACGCTCTTATTCCTTGTTGGACGAAGTACAAGTGGTTCACAAAAATATAGTAGCCCGCATTGTGCAGTTGGTCCACCAGTTTGGTGCTCGGCAGCTGTCATCATCATCAGCCTATAGGTGCCCACTGCTGACCAAAAGGTTCTTCTCACCCGGAGATAGTTTGAGCATTGAGCTTTGAGCACGCTTGCTCAAAACGGATTGGCGATTCCAAACTTATAATTGAAAGTTATAAGCTCAGGTTTCCTCACAGTATTTTCTCACATGTACATAAATGCTTAGCTGCAATTACCCATAAATCCCTAAGCGGTCACCGGTGACCGCTTTCCACTAATATTACATTACATTATAGACCTTATTTGTAATGTTTAGAGACTACTTTTGTATGACCAAATTTAGGGGATGAATTTCAACGGGTTAACACTACCCAATTCAAATGCTGTCAATTTTTTTTTGGGAGTAAAGGGAATTATTCAATGACTTCTTCAGCCTTGAGTGTCAGACTCTTACTGGTCCCGTGTCTACTCCTGGTTCGAGCTGGAGCCCTGGTAACCCGCTAGATCGTCTGTATAGCTATCAAAGCTTGTTAAGAGGTTAATTTCCATTTTTTAATTTTTTGTGCGTGAAAAATCATCCATTGACTTCTCCCGCCCAGGTGACGCGAGAGTGTCAGACTCTTACTGACTAAAAACCACTCCGTTACTACTCCTGCACTTCGAGCCGGAGCCCCGGCAACCCGTTAAGTGCTGCGTGGCTCTGAAATTTATGTATACTTGGGGCCGATATTTCTATTAACAGACAGTAGATGACAAATTTTTATTTAAACTGTCAAACACCAAGCGGTCACCGGTGACCGCAACCTATTGTTCTATAATTGTGTCTATAGTGACGGTACTCGACGAGTTAAATGTCCGTCTGGTAGATTATTCAAAAACATTAGACACGTATTTTTTTTACAAAAACGAATACTTTTGACGATATATTGATTTGAAAAGTCGCGTGACGTCACTTCTATTTACATTTTATACTTCGAAATGACGTTTTAACCCCTACTCCTAAACTTTGATTCGTTTCATCTAAGTATTGTTTTATTATACAACAAAATAAAAAATACGTGTCTAATATTTTTTCATTACCTAACTGACGGACTAATTAGATTTTAAATTTTTATACCCTGTCATCAACCCTATTCTTGACTGTTGAATAAAATTGACATGTGACAGTATGGAAGAATTGTCAAATAAGTATTCAACGGAGTCGCGGAGAACCTAACGGGTAACCGGGGCTCCGGCTCGACGTGCAGGAGAAGGAACGGGGTGGTTTTTAGTCAGTAAGAGTCTGACACTCCCTCCCGCCTCACCCAGGCGGGGGCAGTCATTCGATGATTTTCCCCCCTTAAAAAAAAAAAAAAAAA